AGAAGGGTGGGACATCTGGATGGAGGTCGTCAGAAACCAGGCTAGTCTGTCTCGCGCCCAGCTTAAACAGAATGTCTTCTATATTCTCATCTGTAGTAATACTCCGGAGTTAGAGGCTTCTCGGACCCGTTAGACGGAGAGCTGGGAGCAACATCTTCCTCCTCTCAGAAGGGGAAGTAGAGAGAGAGAGAAGGGGTGGGGGGTGTTGCGCAACAACAATCCATTTAAGTGAAACTTCTCCTGTTTGTCTGTTTTCCTTTTATTTCATTGCTAACATACAGCAAGTATTTGCATGCTGTCAGAAGGGATCCTCAACCTGTCACTCATAAACCTGTTTTCTCATCTTTTTTTCTGCATTCTTCACCTCGTCCAACATCATTTTTTGTTCTGCATTGTCATTCTACGCCTGCTGGCTGGAACGTTAAGTGCCCTGGATGTAATAGTGGACGGTTTTCTCAGACCCAACCCCAAGGTTTCCTATGAGAATGTGGCTAAAAACTGGCACATTTTTATTGCTGCCTCACACCAGGAGAAGCCTGCCAAAACGAGAGCTCATATTCATCTCAACATCACAGGCGATGGATCAGGAGTGTTTGTTTGTTTATGCTGCTGCTGTTCAAGATGAGGACGGAGCCATCATCACACCAGCAGAGTCAAAGGAGGATCTGGACTGTTTGAAACTGAACTTCTGTGAAATTTGCAACCCTCAATGGAACAGAACAATGGAGCGGCGCAGGTTTCTTTTTAGAAAGTAAAGACATTGAGAGCGTTGAATTTTTTAGCAGTGATTTGAAGATAAAAGTTAAGAACTGAAACTTTGGTGAGCTCACTGACAAACTCATCTGGCACAGAATAGTTTGTGCATCTCAGATGACTCTCAGGAAGGCTTTATTAAGAGAAAATTACTTTAGTAAAAGTCGGATTAAAGAAATGACATAGGAGGGAAGCAAATCATTAGCTAGCCAAGCTAACACAGTTGATGCTGTATACTTCTCCGACAAACAGCAACAACGATCTGGGCCCCAGCCACATATTATAATTGACGACAATAATTGAGGAGGATCTCATGTTGCAAAAATAAAAAATGCCCAGGATTCAGAGAGCAGTGCTGCCTGTGCAGGAAAATGAATCATTGCGAAAACTGCTGCAAACCTCCAAATTCTGCCAAGACATACAATCAGTACATGATGTTGCAGTTGAGCAGCCGACTCTAAACGACACTTTCTATGTGGACGGCACTGAGGTTGGCAGCATCACACCGAAAGCCGATATTGAGCAGGAAGGTTATGTCACCATCGACATTAATTATGTTCCCATTGAACTTAAAGCTGAGACAGGAGCAAAATGAAACATGTTTTCCCTCCACACATTTGAAAGAGGAACAAATAGAGAACAACTTACCAACTGCTGAAATCCACCCAACCTAGATGCATTTGGTGGTAACAGGATTCAAACTAGCAACCTGGTCACCTTGCCATGCAATTTCAAAGATCTACATCATTCACTGAGCTTCTTCATAGCAGACAAGGAAGTACAACCACTACTGGGTTTTCAACATGCACAGACCTGGAAATCATCAAACTAAATCCTGAAGTTCATCATGTTAATGCAAAGAGTGACAACACCTTCAAAAACAAAATCATCTCACAAGTCAGAGATTTATTCAGTTATAAACTGGGAGAGCTTCCTATAACTCCATGACATTAAACCCAGATGTGACACCCATGGTGGTGATGCAGGACAATGTTAAAGCTGAACTCAACCGGTTGGAAAGTAATGGTGTAATAACTGTGGTCACAGAGCCCACTGACTGGGTTTTATCACTGGTAGCAGCACTTAAACAGGACAAGCTAGAAATCAGGCTCTGCATAAACCCCTAAAACCTCAACTGGCCTTGAAACGCCCTCAGTATCCCATGTGGAGCGTTAAAGAAACGGCTGAAACATGTCAGGAGCAACCATGTTTTCTGTGCTGGATGCCAAAAACTCATTCTGGCAGGAGCGACGAAAAATAATCCCTGCTGACGACATTTAGCACATCTTTTGGTCGATACAGATTTCTGTGGATGCCCTTTGGAACCAACTCTAGGCGCCTTAGTTTCAGTCAAAATGACTATTCAGCCATTCATTTTGGATAATTTTATGCTCCCAACTTAGTGTAAACTGCTTGAAGGTCGATGCTTTCCTGATAGCATGACTAAGTATCAGTATAGAGAACAAAGTCCATTAAGATATGATTGAGTGAGTCTGGTGTTAAATAACCTGAATGGATAGCTCTAACCGCAACATTTAAATTAATTATAATGGAATCAGGGAACCAGCTTCTCATCCAACACCAATGTCTGGCCTCAGATGTTCTTCTGGAACAATGATCAGATATTCATAGAGATTTGAAGCTGTGATGGCAGCAAAGGGAGGACAAATATTCCTTTTAAACTCTATAGATTTATAATGGGATGTCAAAAAAGTTAATTATATTATTTATTTGGATACTGATATAAATTCAGAACAATAACTAATGGAGCCATTGGAACATTTATATTTTAGACATTCTCAGATTATTAAGTAGTTTTCTTTTTTTGTTTTTTTAAATGTTAAAGTAGTTTTTGGGTTTGGGAATTCTGCAGTGTTGACAAATTTGTTGTTGAAGTGTGAATATTGTAACATTCAAACACGTCCACCAACACAGAGACACAACGCTGTAAGGTCTGGATTAACCGAACAAAACAAAGAACGCTGCGAGGTGATAGATCAAATCACATTAATAACAAAACAATTAAAACCAGTTCCTTCATGAGTTCCTCCACTCCAGCAATTGCAAGTTCAAGAACATTTCAAATCTGTCAATCCTAAAGAAATCTAGAGTTAATTTTTCAGTTTCTTTAAAAACTTGTGACAGGCTAATGTTTTCACACCAGAGTCAAAATGATGAACATTGGTTTGCTGCAAGTTGCTCAATTTCCTCTTTTTTACTGCTGAAGTTTTTGTGTAAGCAAGGCGATGCACAAAAAGTTTTGCCTTTGATTAACACTTTACAACAAAGCAGATATTCTTAAATTGTTTTTTCTTCATTTCGTGAAGATTTTATAATCTGTGAACATGTAAAAGACAAAGGAATTGGATAACTGGAGACATAGGTACATTATGTTAGTAAATTATTGATGAAAAATTACATTTTGTAAAAAATAAATGAACCAGGTTGTGAGTTTAGTTTCAAGTGTGACAGTGTGAGATAGAAACATCAGTGTGTGTGTTATAACTCACCTTTCTGTTGATAGAGGTTTTTCCTCCGGCAGTAAATCAGCAGAGCCGTCGCTAACAAGATGATCAGGACCAGACTCAGACCCACGTAAAGCAGCTGATCTGTTTCATCTGTTTTAATACAAATTAATACTTTTGGTTCTCTTTGTTCTGTTTCTGAGCCACAAACATTAAACCCACTTAGAGTAATACAGAACCATCGCAGTTTCATGTTGACGTCTGAAATTCTGCTACATTAAAATTTAAATGTTATAACCCTCTAATTGTTTTGCCAATATTGTTAATTTACAGCAATTTAAGAAAATAAAAAAATAAATAAAAAAACATGAACAGAAACTTTAGCTTTGGGTTCAGATGATGATGTGGTTTGTTGGGTGGTTGAAGATGAAGATGAAGTTGTAGCTGTAGAAATTAAACATTCATGATACCAGTGAAGATGTTTGTCTGTGTGAGTCTCAGTTTGAACATGTTGGATGATTTAATCAGTTAAAAACATCTGAACTCAGATTTAAACCCAGTTTGATGTCATTTGGATCAGAAGAAGCTGTCAGTGAGCAGAGTTTACTGTCAGAGACACGAAGGAACATTTCCAGGAGAGAAACTCACCTTCAGTCACATCCAGATGAAATTCATGATATCGAGATCGGTTTTTACCCAAACCACATCGGTACCGTCCTGAATCAGATCGTTTCAGGTCTGAGATGCTCACATACAGAGAAGCTGAAGTATAACCTGATTCATAGAAAGTGCTGTATCTGCCGTTATGAGCTTTGTCTTCTGTTGTGCTAATCAGAATATTTTCTCCTTCACAGTTTTCCTTACAGAAGATTATCGGGTTTTCAATTAAATTAACTTTACATTCAACTGTGATGTTTTCTCCTCCCATTCTTGCATGAGTTTCTGCAGCTTCTCCATCCTGCAGAGCTGCTGAGAGGATAAACAGTAATTACTGTGATATTCAGCAGCTGGAAGAGAAAATATATTTTATAAATTTAACTGGAGATACGAGAGTAAATTAACATTGACTCCAACATTTTAAACTAATTCTAATGAATTCCCCAAACTTTTATGTTGCACATCAACCTTCTGGTTTCTTAGTTCCACCTGGTTAAAACTTCAACTAAGAAGCAAATTAAATTTTGTTTAAAAGTTAAGCTCATTTAGTTTTTATTTTTGTTTTCGTCTTTGTAGAACCCAGCTCTGTTCTGAAGATTTTATCGCTGTGTCTGTGATGACGTTTTGGTCTTGCAGCAGTTCTGATAGTTTCTGTTTATGCTTCCTTTGAGTTTCTTTAAATCTTAAAGCAAAACTTTGTTTCAAATTTGCCAAAGCAACAAACTCTGAGTTCTAAAAAGCTGTACATTATTTAAAACTAATTTTTAAGCATTTCAACAACTTCCTGTTAGTTTTCTGCTTTGTACTGGAATATTCTGACCATAGAAACAGAAAGAAACTGCATTTGTGCAACATTAATAATGGCTAATTTGCAAATAAATTAATGGTTTGACAAGCTTTGCATAATTTAATAAGCCTTAGATTGAAGCTGTTTATATTCAAACTGATCAACAGGTGCTACTACAGAAACCAACATGATGCAACAGATAAAACTAGTGAAATAGACGGCTTAAAATCTTTTAGCAAAGTTAAAAAACTTCCTAATACACATCCTTCCAGTCCTTCAATTGAACGAATGAAGGACTGAAAGCAGAGAAACTGATATAAATAAAATAATATACTCACTGAGGAAGAAGAGGCAGATCAGAGTGAAACAGACCTTCATCCTGAGCTGCTGATGGTTTCTAACTGCTTCTCTTCCTGCTTCACTGATAAACTAGAAACTTCTCTGAAGGATGCAGTTCCTCCTCTGAACACCAGAGGCTGCTAAAGATTCTGTAGGAGATTATTCTTCATCACATCAAAGAATCCTCTGGATTTCTTAAATCTCAAAACGTTTTATTTCACAAATTCTGCAGTCCAGATTTGTCCTTTAAATAGAAACTGATGCTGAAATTAGAAGCTGTATGCTTCTAATTTTTTTAATGCTGGAGGTCCTTGATTAGCTTGCGATAAACACATTCATCCTCATAATTTTAAAAGGTTTACAATAATCTAGCAGCTGAATTTATTCATGTTTTAAAGTGAGCATCAGCGTGTCTTACCACAGAAACCAACAGGAAGAGACACTGATCACATTTAGGGCCATTTGAAACAAAGTCCACTTCCTGCAGAAGGTAGAAAAACTGATCAACTGAAAGGATGAAGCAGAGGAACTGATCAAAATAAAATAATGAGGGCACTCTCCACTTTATTTTATTTCTGCATTAAAAATTGTGAGTCTTTGAAATTAAAATTATATTCCATCAGTAAATTGTCTTGTTGTAAGCTAACTTTTACAGCCATAAGAAAATAGGATCACACTGTTAGCTTAAGTAAAGGTTACTGACGTTATTTTTAAGGTATTTACGTCACTTCACACCTTCAGCAGTTTGTTCCTCCAGCGACTTTTTCGCCATAAAAATGTATTTCTTTCTAAGCAAATAGTGTTTCAGCACAAACACTGTTAACACTCAACACTAAAATGTCTTAAGAATTTTTCAAAAATAATGTCACTTTTTATTTAGCAATATATTTATGAACAAATACTGTTTGCACAGTTAAAAACTGAAGACGTGAAAGTTTGTTTAACCAAAGTCTGAAAAAATATTCTATTGAATCATAAAAAAATTATTTTATTTGATCCACAGCAAAACTTGTCTGTTAAACAGAAAAAAAGCAAAAAGCAGATAATTTTCATTAACCAGTATATTGCATATAAAAAACAAACAAAACTATACAATATACATATCCATCCATTTTCTTTACACACTTGTCCCTTAGTGGGGTCGGGAGGGTTGCTGGTGCCTCTCCAGCTAACGTTCCGGGCAAGAGGCGGGGTCACCCTGGACAGGCCGCCAGTCTGTCGCAGGGCAACACAGAGACACACAACCATGCATACACACACTCACACCTATGGGCAATTTGGCCAATTAACCTGATAGTCATGTTTGTGGAACTCACACATGCACAGGGAGAACATGCAAACTCCATGCAGAAAGACTTCTTGCTGCAAGGCAACAGCTCAACCAACTGCGCCACTGTGCAGCTCTAAAATACATATGTATACATACTATTGTTTTACTAAAACCCTAGTGAATGAAAATAATTTTATAAAAACAGTTACATTATTATTTAGCCAAGTGAGGAGATGTATTTAATAATTTAGCTTATCTATAATTTATAGGAGACTTTCCTGCAAGTTTTATTTTTTGTTATCATTTTCTTATGAAAACATGAGACTAAATGTTTTTCATTTGTACTTTGAGCTCTGATTGTTTCAGAGTTTAGTTCAGGAATGAACTGCAGATATTTTTTTCAGCAGATGATTTATTCTCTGTCTTTTCTGATTTCTTCTCTCTGGGTTCATCAGCTTTTATCTTCTCTTCGCCTCCTAACACAAACACTTTCAAATAGGAAATTTTAAAAAATCCTAATACAGCAATACAGACCCACTTTGAGTTTAAAATTGGCAAATATAAAAATAATTGGTTCTTAAGGTTTCTGTCTTTGTCTGTGTAAATGTTGACATTTTTATGGAAATGTATTTATTTTTAGTTTTCCTAAAACCATCTTAGTGCTGCTGAGTGGCTTCTGTAGAGGAATTTTCCTTTTGGTCATAATGGAGGGTCGCTATGGTAACATTTATATATCCCATTAAAATAAGATATAGAAGCGCCACAAAAACGAGCTTTCGTGAAAATTTTAACTCACGATAATGACTAACGGGAGCCCTGAGCTTGTTTCTCTGCAACGAGACGGTCCCATCTGGGAGTGATGGGAGACAATGACACTCGAAGTGTTGCTTATATCCACAGCCTGCTGGGTCTCTACGTGGCAAAGCAGCTTGAAGCTTCATTGCCTCATTAGCAGCCGGTCGCCGCATGTTACGCAGAGCCGCTTGTAATGTTTGACTCACCTACCGGTCCAGGATAAATCCATTCTCCTGTCTCTTCTCAGTGCCTTTTCCCCTTTGCAAAGAAACTTTCCACAGACATCCGTTTCTTACTCATTTTGCTGTTTGTGGGCTCAGTGTTGGCACCAAGTAACCAGACTTCCAATGATTCACTTCCTGCTAAAGAGCCCCCTGGTGGCTGAAGAAAAATCCACATATAAACGTCTTGTAGTCCGGAAAATACGGTATATGAAAAAAAAAAATCTAAATGCTCTCTGGTATTGTTCAGGGGGCTGGACCAAATGTGGAGGCGGGCCGGATCCGGCCCGCGGGCCGTAGTTTGGGGACCACTAACCATGAATGTCCGACTTACCCCGCCTTACAAGAACAGTAGGCGTCAGCGATCTTGTCCACAGCTGTATTTATGCTGAGGGTGTGAGGATCTGCTGTTTTCCTCATCGACCGGTAGCATTTAGCTGCGGCGCGCACAATGTTGGAGGCATCGCGCGGCTCAAACACCTTGATGTCGTCCAAAAAAGATGACATGAACTTGTTGGTTCCCCCTGTCCATTGTCGTGGCTGATATTTTTTGAAAATCCGGCAGAAATGCTACACTAATTGACTCAGAAATACTCTGTAGAGAGTCAGTCAAAATGAAAATTGCCATGTTTACACATAGAAACTAAGAACCGCGAGACTTTGCTTGTGAGACATGTAGCCATGTGGGACTTTAGAGGGGCGTTTCAGGGTGGAGCTTGGTAAGGCCCATTTGTTTAACTACAGTCTGCAAAATATTCCTGCTAAGTCTTATAAAATTTAGTTATTGGCTAAACTGCAAATGTATATTAGGAAACATAAATTGTTGTTTTAGCTGAAAACAACTGAAAATAAGTTTATCATCAAAACAGTTACAGCACTGCAATTAGGTCGTCTTTCAAACATCTTCTGTAACATTCAGTGGAGGAACATATTTTAGCCAAGTTTTAGACAACTATAGAAAACTTTCCTTGTAAAAACATGAGACTAAATGTTCTTCATATTTACTTTGAGTCCTGATTGTTTCAGAGTTTAGTTCAGCAGTAAACTGAAGAGATTTCCTCAGCAGATGAATTGTTCTGTCTGTCCTCTTTGGTTTCATCCCTTTCTGGATTGATCTGCAGGAAGAAGAGGAGGAGTTTCAAAGAGACAGTTTTATAAAACTAATGAAATTCAGGTGTTTTATAAATATTCAGACTCACCTACGAGATGTCATCATTCTCAGCTTCTACAGCAGAATCTGAAAAAAATTAAAATCAGAGAGATGAAACTTCTGATTTAAAGAGATCAGGAGACTTTCTAGCAACTAGAAGCAAACTTGTCTTGTATTCTCTCTATCCTTCTTTCCTTTTAAACCTTTCCCTCCACTTTTATGTCCATAAAGCAGTAATGATCCAGTTGCAAATCCGTATTAATTCAGAAATCAATTCTTCATGCTGCACGGCCCAAGAGGGCATGTTAAAAACTAAACGGTCTGAGCCGAACCAAGCTCTGCTGATTGATGCTACGGAGCATGATGGGTAGACTTTGCTCTGATGCAACAAACAGAAACATTTTCCAGGAATGCTGCAGCTAAAACATTAAACTAAATTAAATGTTCATGTCCAACTTTGTGACGGAGGAGCCGTTACGAGCCGGGACTTAATTATGAGTCCGTGTCAACATGGGTACACATACAAACTATCGCTAACTAACTTCTGTTCCAGCTTACACTGACGCGGTTCATCGTGGGTGCCACGCGGTGTTCCTGCTTCAATTAGCATCCATCCATGTTTTCACTTCCAAACGTTTTAATGGTTTTGTTTTCGAGCAGGGTTATTTCCGGGTGTGGCGCGCCAGGAGTCAGGTGATGACGTAGTGACGTCATCGAAACGTACTGAGTGTTCTCTATTAAATTATTAAATTGATTATTGTATTTTTGATTACAAGTTTATTTACTTTCCTTATTATTATGATCTGTTTTGTATCCTTTAATAGTTCATTTGAGTTAGAAGTAATTGTTTTGTTTTTTTGTTTGCTTGATTGGTCTTTCTGTGGGCGGAGCCTGTGGCTTTAAAAGCAGGGCTCTGCGCCACAGGGAGGCAGTCTGTGGCTAGACTCCTGCCATGTCACAGTGAAGGTGATGGACTCTTTCCTTGAAGGTACTGCTGTTTGTTTTTTGACCTGCCAGGACGTCCTTGTATATATTTTTGCACCTGCCATCTTTGTCCACTTGAGAGCTAAATAAATTTCACCGCAGTGAACTCTGGCCTTGGGCAGTCATATTTCTGTTTGTCTAAGTCATATGAGAACCCCGTCACAAACTTTAACATAATTTAAAATTTATGTTAAAATTTGTTTAACATGTCAGCAAAGTTTTTGCAAAGATCTGGTTTTAAACCATTAATTTGATTAGAATGTTTCTATTAAAGAATTTTCATATAATATTCATCAAACCAAGACTTTTTCTTTTGGACAATTTTATGCTTTAAAATAATCTTTCTGCCAGGTTTTCAATATAATATGTGGAGGAATTTAATTTGATAGATGTACATAGAAGCTAATTCTGATTAATACCCCAGATTACTCCCCATAGACGCCCCTTCCTACTATGACTACACACCAGTGCAGAGAACAAAGTCTATTAATATATAAATGAGGAAGTTTGGTCTCAAAGACCCTGATTGGCCTGAGCCTGAACACATTTTAAATGAATTAGAGTAAAATCTGGCAGTCAGGCTCTCTTCCAACATCAGTGTCTGACCTCATAAATGCTGTTCTGGAATAGGAATCTTATCAGAAGAGGTGAAGTTGTTATGGTAGCAAGTGGTGGACCAACATTCTTTTTAAACTTTATGAATTTATA